AGGAATGCAGTTTACAGTTCACCCTCCCTTGAAGAGTATCAATAACTTTTGCCAGTGTTCCAGCCAAAGCAGTCTGAATCATAACAAAGTGATTTAAGCTACTTTGATTATTTTCCTCTGTAATTGACTGCAGCTGTCTCTATGCTATTTCTGAAGTGTCCTTGACTTCACCTGAGACCCGTGAGCATGGGAAAGCTATATTTAAAGCACTAGCAGCATCTAGATTACCTCTCAGAGTTTGGCCTGATTTATCGAGCTGCAGTGTTTTACCTCCTGTTTCTTTGCTTGGTTTTGATACTTCATTGACATGGCCCTCCAGAGGGGGATCATGAAGTTGATAAGAGGATTGGAGCATCTCCCCTGTGAAGACAGGCTGAGGGAGTTGGGGCTGTTCAGCCTGGAGAGGAGAAGGTTGTGTGAAGACCTCAGAGCAGCCTCCTGGTATCTGAAGGGGCTCCAGGGAAGCTGCAGAGGGACTCTTTATTAGGAGCTGCAGTGATAGGACAAGGAGCAATGGGTACAAATTGAAAGAAGGGAAATTTAGATCAGATATCAGGAAAAAGTTTTTTACTGTGAGGGTAATAAGACACTGGCACAGGTTGCCCAGGGACGTAGTGGCTGCCCCAACCTTGGCAGTGTTCAAGGCCAGGCTGGATAAAGACTTGAGCACCTGGGCTAGTGGGAGGTGTCCCTGCCCAGGGCAGGAGGGTTGGGACTGGATGATCTATAAGGTCCATTCCAATCCCTTAACAATCTATGAAATGTATGAAAAAAAACTTTGTTAGTTCATGGTATACTTGTCTTCTAGAGTACTTTAACCTTCTTAAACTAATTTTTGAGCAAGATTAAAACAGGATACTGGTCTGGTGGTTTGTTATACAGATCTTTTAAGTTCTTTGGAAACAGTACACTGCTAGAATTTTAGAACACCTTCTAAAAGCACTGCTGGTTTTTGGACCTAGACCAAATCCTAATTTACTGGTGTCTTAGCAATCATTTGTGCAGCAGGGATACCTGAATCCTGAGCCCTGTGGTTGAGAGGCAGTCAGCTGTTCTGCAGATTTAATGAAATTTTCTGATACCATTACAAGCTTGAATAAAGACAGATTTTTGGCAGAGGAATAGTTTTGTAAGGGGTTACATAAGCAAAGAATACCGAAATTGGGTGATAATAGAACACTCTTCTCTCACAGTTTCAAGAATGTGGCATTTTTCAAGATGAACTTTAGGCTTTGTGAACCCTCAGGTCATTCTTGCTGTTTCCTGCTCCTGACAGTTTATCTACCTTACTGCTTTGGTCTTTCTGCATTGTAGGTTAACCTCCTTTCTTTAAAAATTGCTTTTGTAGAAAGGCACTGTGGGTAATATACCAAACTTTGGGAATTTGTGTGGGTGTGAACTTATTGCAAATTTCCATTATTTGGAGATGATGACCATTATATAAAATTTTAATTCCTGTTAGTCAGAAGTATTTTACTTTTTAGCACCTGTTTGAGGTAACTGCATGTTCTTTCAATTAATTTTTCTTCCCTTCCATGAATACTGGAATGCTGGTCTGCAGTGAAATGAAGTTATTCCATGCCTTCTGAAATAATAGAGAGCAAGCACTTTGAGTCATATCCTTCCATAGCATTTTGTAACATCATTTCCCCATTATTATTCTAGAAGAAGTGGTTATAATTAATGTTAGGGGGTTTGCAGTCATTCCTATAAACCCTGTTCTTCCGTTCTCATAACTGTCTTACAATGGGCTCAGTCTTGTGCAATAAAAGGAAAAGAGGCAATGGTCAGGGTTTCAAGTTGGATAGAAACAAGGGAATGCTTACAATGAGAATGCCTGAGCACTAGAATTGTTTTCCAGAGACACTATAAAATCTTTTCTGAGAGCTTGATGAGATCAGGGCTTTATTCAGGCAAGATTTGATGAACTTTATGATTAGACTTGTGTGGAGGAGCAGCTTGAATTCCAGAGGTCCTTTACAACCTTAAAGCTTTCCATGGTACCTGTGTCAAGGTGAATACTGCAGTATTCTTTTTAAAGGCAAACTTCCTTGTGAAGTTTGTCCTTATACCCAGCTTTTTCTGACACAACAGGACCAGAGTTTCTACAACTAGATGGTAATAAGTCTGAAGTTTAGTACATGTCCTTTGTGAGCCTCAGTTGCTTCAACAGTCCTTGTCAAAAACATTCAGCAGGCCAGAAGTTTCTTAAATAAACTAGTTTTGAGAAGATGTTTGGCTGAGAATACCAGTTTCTTGTTCATTTTTTTTTTTCCCAAATCAATGTATGTGTTTACTGACATGATGTACAACTTCTCCTTTTAGCTAGAAAACGTGATGCCTATGACAGATATGGAAAAGAAGGCCTAATGAATGGAGGTGGAGGTATGTTGACAACCAGCAGGTCTTTGCATCCTCTCTTCTGGTGGAAAGCCATTTTCTGCAACTTTCTTTTAAAGACGTGAATGTGGAAATGCTTGCACTAAGGCCTAAAATTCAGTCTTCTTAAAACTGAGATTACAATTCTCTTGCAGTTTTTCTAGTTGCTGTAGAAGGTGTTATTGTTGTCTGAAAACAGGGAAAGAAAAACAGTTACAGAAAGTACTGTGTGCTTAAGTGATACCTGAAGGGGAATGGGAAATTTTAGAAATTGTTTTTAAATTATTCAAATACCGTATAGACCTGAACTTTCCTGTTCATAAGAATGTGTGAAGGTAATTGAAATTTACCTTTTTTTTTTCTTTCAGGTGGAAATCACCACGATAATCCGTTTGAGTATGGATTTACATTCCGTAACCCCGAAGATGTCTTTAGGGAGTTTTTTTCAGGAAGGGATCCCTTTGAACTCTTTGGTAAGTAGTCCACTGGTTTTAGTTACGTGTGTCTGAAGCATGGCTGAAACTTTACTCTTACAAAATAAACACAGCTAATGCAGTTTCATTAGAAATAGCTCTGAAAACGAGGTAAACTACTGGTATTTTGTATTATATATTTGAAATGTTTGCTTCATACCTGTTTCTTGGTTGAGTTTCTAGTGTAGAACAGATATGGTTTGCCAGTTCATGTTTTGTTGGAAGGCCTGGTTTATAAAAACTTCAAATCAAGGCTGCTGTGTATCTGTAGGTGTGTGTGTCTGTCTTCAATAGAGAATGTATACACTGGACTTTCCTCTCACAAATTTGAGCAGGCAGACCTAGTCTGTTGAATTTAAACTCTTTTGATCTGTAAATAAAATAAAAGCTAAAGCTTTGAGAGCTTCTGGACTGGACATGGTAACTGTAACTGTCACATCATAGCTCTCAGTGTAGACTTATTTAATGATTTTCCTGTGTTAGAATAAGAACAGCTACGTACATAATCCGGACACTCTCCCTCATTTGTCACTTGTTTTCTTGGGGTATAAAGCCCCTAAATACTCAGATTAAATAGTTCTTGAGGCCTGGATGATTTTTTAGGAAGCATTCATTAAAGGAAGCAATACGTGTTAAAGTCGTTTTACCTTAGTGCTGAGGGACTTCTGGCCTGTGATGTTGCTTGCTCTAGTGAAGGTCTTTTCAGAGGTGCTGGAGTTCTTACACAATCTCTCTGTCTCTGTTCTACTCAGCAATTTGCTGACCTATAAAGCAGAACAGATCCTGTGTTCGGTATTTACTGCGGGAAAGTTCCATACTGAAAACTGCAAGAAGTGTACTTGAAAATCAGCTTTCTTCCTGTTCAGTATCTTGGTGTTGATTAATCTCTAGAATAATGTATGTAGATGTTTTAATATTTTTTAAAGTAATTTTTTATCCTCGGCAGCATTAAGGGACTAATTCAGCTCAGATTTTAATTATATCTTTCTCTGGTTTGCTATTTAAGGATCATCAGTTGTTGGATGACTCTAATGAGGGATTAGGAAAGGGGTTGAAGGGCTAGAGGTTGATTTCAGTAGAACACTAGTTGATTAATTAGATGAGTAGCTAGAGGAAGAATCTGGTGGAGGATAAGCATCAGCACTTGGATAGCTATACAGCAGAAGTAGGAAAGGGCAGATTGGAAGAAGCATCTACAAAATACTTACAAGTGAAATGGGGTCTGAACTGGAAAGATGCAGCTGCTTTAGCTGTCTGCAGTAAAATAAGAATCTGAAGTACTAGGCAAGGATTTCAGTTTAGATGCGTGATCTGAGCACTGGTTAAGCCACATCTGGAGTATTGGGTCCAGTTCTGGGCTCCCCAGTAAAAGAAACAGAATTTCTGGATTGAGTCCATTGAGGGGCCACTAAGACAATTATAGGACTGGAGCATCTGTCAGTTGAAGAGAAGAATGAGAGAATTGTTGGAATTGTTCAGTGTAAAGAAAGCTCAAGGTGAGAGTCTCGGCAGTGCATTTGGAAGGGATTGTGTAAGGAGGGTGGAGTTAGGCTGTTACCAGTGGTGCAGGGGAAGAGGCAGTGGCCACAGATGGGAGAACAGGAGGTTCTGCCTTACCTTAAGGTGACACATTTACATCTGAGGGTGACTGAGCGTTGGAGCATGTTGCCTGGAGAGGTTGTGGAATCTCCATGTTTAGAGATACTCAAAAGGTATCTGGATGTGTTCCTGGGCAAACCACTGTAGGTGGCCCTGCTTGAGCAGGGGATTAGACCAGATGAACTCCAGAAGTCCCTGTCAACCTCAGCCATTTTGTGATTGAGTGGTAGAAAAACCTATAAAAGTCTGATCAAGATGTTGAGTAGGAAGTTAGTGAGGAGGAACTGGGAGAGTGCTTAGCTCTCTGTTTATTTAAGTTGTATTAAATAAAATAGTTGGTTCTCAATCAAATATTTTTACAGTAAATTGTGTAGGTGAGGCATGTTCTAGCTACCAGTGGGAGACTGACATAGGCTGTTTGATTTTTATTGTATTGACGTCATCAGCACTAGAAGAAGATTTAACTTTCCTCTAAAAATCTCAGTGTTAATGATTAACCTTAAAGCTGTGAAGTTCTGCTGTTAAGCAGTAATGGGCTTAAAAAAATCCCTGAGGACTTACCTTTTGGGTTGTTTAGAGAGAAGGCTGCCGAGTATGGTGCATTGAGCTATGTAGCTTAACCAGTGGAGATACCACTGCTGCCAGACTTCTGGGATATTGCAGCTGCTGTAGCCTTCCTACTGGAAGTGAAAGGAACACTGAAACATCTTACCTGGTGGCATCAGTGGACTCAACATACCTCTGCACAAGTGACCTGTAGAAACATTCACCCCCTCCTTAACACCCAAAGATTTTATTTATTCAAAAGCAGGTTATCTACTTCATGTATTGATCACTGTCAGCTGTAAGATACGAGTGATGTGGCACAGGCTTCTAGCTGAGTAAGGGTTTGGCACTGTCAGCAATGTGATGTGCACTCCAATTAATGAAAACTAATCGTCTCAAAGCTGTCTCTGCTTCACATGGATAGTTGCAGTGTCAGTGATCAGAGTCCTAAAAGCCTGTGTTGAGCTTTGGATTTGGAGCATAAGCTCTTGAAATTTTTATAGTGAGAAGGCTTCAAAGGGAGCACCTTTTTCTCTTTTTTTTTTGTGGCTTTAAGATACTTAAGACTTTGTCAGTTGTGGAAAATTGTAACTCAAAACAATTATTTTCACAGATTTCTATAAAAAGTCTTTGCAGTGGTCTTTGCACATACATGAATGTTTAAGGTAGTACAACACGAACGTAAGGGTGCTTTCAGCTGAATGGAGTGCATTTTATAATACCAAAAGCAAGCAGGAGAACTGTGTGTGTAGCACTAACACTTGTAATGGTGAACTAGGGCCCTTGTAGATTCTTTTGTGTTGAAACACTGTTGGCACAGTTCTGTCCTGAATAATAAGGGAATTTGTCTTCTAAAACTGAGGAGTTGCCAGCTTATTGGTGAGTTTTATGTGAAACTGGTGACTTCTTAAGGAGCTACTCAAATTATAATTGATATTCAAAGCAGCTGAATAAGGGTTGAGGTCATGTGTTCTAAAGCTGTATACTGGCAGAATCAAAGATGAAATTGAATAAATACTTTGAAACATTTGTACTTTTTATACAGTTTGAAGTGGCACATAGTGAAGCCCACAGAATGCAGGTGGGACTCTGTATATCCTGATTGCCAATGAATATGTAAAGAGCAGCATTCAGATGCATAATTCTGTAAATTTATGGATGTGAAGAATTGCTAAAATTTGCTATGAATTGAATCTGTTAAACTCCACTGAGCTGTATTGCACTGCTATTGCAGTTACAGAAAGTTTTCTTTATAAACAGAGGCATCTTTATTCATCTGTAGAAAAGAGGAGAACGTGTGAAGGCTTCTGTGGTGATTTTTGACTGATGAGTCCCTTCAGACTTTTCAAATGACAATTTATAATCTTGTCGAAGACAGCTCTGAACACTTCCAAATGGAGCCAAGTTAATGTTCTGTGCTGTTGTTGCAGTGGAGATAGTCATGGTTTCTCTTCACTGATTATTTTCAGGCAAATTCTTTGTAAACATAGGGGTGCATGAAGGCAGGTACTTTTTAAAACTTGATGTAATGTTATGACAGGTGGTTAAGTCTCCTAACCTTTGAGACACGTGGGCTCACTTTTTGTGGCACCTGGTTACAGCAGAGTCTGTATTCCTAGTGAGCTCTTTTAGGGATGATTTTAGTCTCTGACATGTGGATGTATGGGAATCCTTAGGCCATGAAAAAAGTAAAGCTGCTGCTTCCTGTACTCTCTGTGTTGCAAAGTCCTGCCTTGGTCTGTCAGTGTCTGGTTAGCCACTGTTCAGCACTCTGTCCCATACACCTCCTTGTCTTGACTGGTCCTTGATACTAGAATTGACTTTTGACTCTTAGCATAGGGATTGGTTTCTCATTTCACTAAGTTTGTTTTATACTTAAACTATATCCTACTCAATTAAAATTGGTGTTTGCCTTGATTTGGTTTATTTGTGCTGCATGTAGTGTTTTGTTTGTATTTTACTTGTAAACTTTTCAAGGACATTCTTCTGCTGGATTTTAACAGTTCGTGGGAGGGAACAGCATTCCAGTGTTACCACTGGTGATGGAGGTGTATTGATAAAAGACTCTTGCTTCAAGCATTGTGTGAGGAACAGAAATTGTTGTGTTTTGGTGTTGGCAAAAATACTTGACTATGATTCTGGGCTGTTCAAGAATTGGTTTTGGTTTAGAGGCTTTTCAGATTCTCACTTCAAGAACAGGTTATATATTGGAAGGTATTATCAGTGAGGAATTATATTGAAAGATGGAGTTGGGATAACAAGGTCATGACATTACTTAACAGGGCATTTAGTACTTCAGACCACTCCTTAAGGAGTTAATTCATCTCTTACAGACTTTAAGCTTCACATATACCTTAAACCATCTCACTGCCACCGGATGTATCTGTGATGCCTGTGTAATCTGTAAGGGCTAGAAAATACAACTCAGGTCCTAGAGCAGACTGGTATCCTGCAGCAGCAGTATCTAGAAGCTCCACAGGATGTTTCAGGGCTTTCCAAACTGCTTTGGGTGCCTTTATGTCTAGTTAAATGAATCCTGCAAGGAACCATGCTTTCCTCCCTGGTGGCATATTACTAAGGTGACATGATAAATCACTCCCCATGGATGCCTTGTCTAGACTTTGATGTCCAAGCAAAGTCTGTTTGTGAAGTCTCCTTCAGCACTGACAGTTTTGGTATGGTTCCTAAACATTTTAGTGTTCTCCAGGTACCTTTGGAGATGGTATTTTATAAATGTCTTAAATGTTTTTCTTAGTTCATGAAGTAAGATTCGCAATATATTTTAATCTGAATTTAATGCTAGATGATGCATAAACCCACTGTGGAATTTTCCCTTGAGAGTTCTGGTTTATGTGGTGTTTAAAAACCTATATTGTTGGAAATGAAATGTAAAATTAAACTTAACACCTGTATAGGCTAGCGAGATATAAATGCTTGTCACAGAGAATGTCACCTGGCTAGTTACATGGTGTGTAGTTTGGTTCCATCAAAGGACAGAATTGCTGCAGATTGGCTGCTGTAATATTGATTACATAAAAAGAAGCAGGAGGGTTCTGGAACAGTGCAGTTCTCTCAGTATATTACTCTAAGGATTCAGGCTAAAGAGTCTTCAGCTGATAAGAAAGCAAACTCGATGTGCCATAATCATTGCAAACTCCATGTGATCTGTTTTAGGTTGTTGCTCAGGAATGGAATGTCTTCATTAACCTATTTGTCTCAAGGACAAAGTTGTCTTGCTGGGGCAAGAGATATGCATATGAATATGATCATGGTTTTAATTCACATGATACTCCATTTCTGATAATTCTTTGTTTAGGTGTTCTAGTGCAGATTGTATTTATTAGTAAAATGGGTTCTTAAAACTGAAAATGGAGGTGGTTTTCAGTTAAAGCTGTCTTGTACAGTGTTGTCTTCTTGGTAATCAGGCTTTTTGTAGACATAAATTTGCAGCTTTCGATGCAGTTTATGAAGTGCTCAGATTTGCATGTGCATTCATTGCTTTGCTGTGAATGTGCAGTTTTATATCATAACCACTAGTTATGGTATATCATAACCACCAGGTCATAATTATCCACTGAATGGTCCAGATCTCACTACTCTGAATTTTTCACAAATAACTTGATAGGTTCATAGGGAGTTTTTGAAAGACAGAAATTGTCTCACCCAGACAGCATTATCAAACAGGAGTTGGTAATGCTGTGGCTCCAGAATGTGCAGTTTTATATCATAACCACTAGTTATGGTATATCATAACCACCAGGTCATAATTATCCACTGAATGGTCCAGATCTCACTACTCTGAATTTTTCACAAATAACTTGATAGGTTCATAGGGAGTTTTTGAAAGACAGAAATTGTCTCACCCAGACAGCATTATCAAACAGGAGTTGGTAATGCTGTGGCTCCATGGTCAAACTAACAGTTTCTCCTAAGGGTGGAAGCCTTGCTCCAAATTTTCACATCTGTCTTAAAACTTTAATCATCATCTAATGCCCCATTAGGTAGATTGAGAAGCTGTTTGATAGCACACTGGCCAAAGTTTGTCTTGGGCATCCCAGGCCAGTTCAGGTGGTTAGTTCCCAAGAAAATGTTTTGATTTGGTTTTCTTGGATGGCTAGCTGGTTAAAGTGGTGAGAGGACAAATGCTGAACATAGCACAAGGAGAGCAGGTCATCCAGTGGTAATGGAGGATTCCTCCTTTGTTAAGTGTCCCTGAACACTTGAGCATTCATTTGATAGTAGCTAATCCCAAGGTACCTCTATACATCTTTAGAAAGACTTTCAAATGCTTCTGCTGGTAAATTATTGAATAAGTGGGGCAAACATCTGTTTGACTCCAGTTTATGAAAGTGGGCAATTATAAAGACCACACCAAAACATTTGGTGGGTGAATCAACAATGCTTGAAACAGCATCTTAATGTCCCCTCTGAGTAAGTGGCATCAGCAGTGCTTATTTTGAGTTAAGGAAGAAAATATTTCCATGCAAAAGTGCTTCCAGATTCCTGAAGCCACCCCAGTTCTCATGATAGGTTTTTCAGTGCCTGGGTACACTCCAGAGCTGTAGCATGAGGTTCTGTGTGCATTTACTGCAAATATGTACATACTTGAAACTTTTTTCAAACAGGAGACAAGATAGAAAACACCTATTCCAAGAATTCTCTTGTATTGTAGCTATCACATAGCTGTAGCCCTTTGCATAAACACATTGTTCAGACTCACATTTCAGACTCTCTCCTGGCAGGATCTGTGAAGTCATTGCCATGTGCTTTTGCTCTAAAGAAACAATGGCAGGCAGGCTGCCTGTGCTGCCCGTGCTTGCTGAGGCACTGCAGCAGAACTCAGTGCCCTTGAGTTTGCCTGTGCCCTTACGTAGGGGCTGAACAGCCTTTCAGCATTGTTCTGCTCAGTGTGCTGCAGCGAGTGTGACCCTCCTGCATCCATCTGCATTTGGCTCATGTGTCATGTGCTGGCACAGGCAGTAGGGTGGCTCTGATGGCAAAAAATAAAGCAAAGTTAGTTCCCTGGTTGGGGAGGCAGTCAGTGCAGTGAGTGGTGACTGAGCAGAGAGCCTGTTTTTACAGGGTGATGTTCCTTTGCATACTGTCCCTGTAAGATTATCAGCATCTTACAACTGCAGCATGTGCATGTGAGAACATTTGCTGACAGCACACAGTTCATCTCAACACTTGATTTTCTGGAGGTGAATGATGGCATTGCAGTGGAATGTGCTTGACACTTCGATCAGTGTCATCACTTTGATTGGTCACATCATTCTGTGACTGAAAGAATCTTCCTGTGCTGCTTTTGACCCTTGGGGCACTTTTGCTGCTGCTGCCTACCTTGTAACCAGCAGTTGCTTTTACAGCCATACTGTGAACTCTAGCAAAGAATTGACGTGGCTGAACTTCCTTTCACCTGGAGGTGCTCTTTTCAGCACATAAATTCCCCGAGCAACTGCCAGGATACAACTGTCATGGTAGAAGTGACTGTCATAGGAATTGTGTCACTTTTACAGTGTATTGTGATTTCAGCTAATGCCTTAGATTGCTATGTGGAATTTTATGAGGTTTAACTGAATTGTAGACTGTTTCAAATGTAGATACTCAGGGTTTTGCCTCCTTTCCTCCCTTCCCCTGTTGTATGGTGCTTTCCTGCCCATATTCTTTCACATACCCAGTCTTGCCAGTACTGAATCAGATGAGCTCACCGATGCAACAGAAAGTAACAACTCAATGTTTTCTTTGGGATCAATGTATTAATGAACTTGTGATTTGGTACCATGATCACAGAGCAGGAAAGAGAGCAATCACATCTTTTAAGTAGTATTCTGCAATTAGTTTATACTGCTGAAAGGGAGAGAAACCTGTTTCTGTGTTACAGCTGAGGCCCCCTGAGAATAGGGGGATCATGACCTGCCTTATTTTGAACTGCAGTGAGATATTTATTACAGTAGCTGCTGTTGTTGTTGTTATTTGACCTATTTAGAGGAGAAATTCTTGTCCTGTGACTACAGAAAAGCAAGGTAAGATTCCATGGCTTGCAGGGTGCAGGTTTAATGTTTTACCCAGAGGAACAAGACAGTTGTTGTAATTGAATTAGCAAAGATTTTTCTCAACAAATTCTTTTGGAAACATTATCTCTCATGCAGTTATTTTCAGGTAGGTTATTTAGTGTACAGTGTTTGTGTTGCTGTGGGTTTTGTGTTCCAATCTTTGCAGTAACGTTTTGGCTTCTGTAACTGCAGTGTTCCTACCTAGGAACAGTGAGAGTCCTGAAATCTTCATTTTGTCTGCTTTTTTGGTAACAGGGTATGATGAGTTCTTTGCTTAAAGCATTTGCCTTTTCCCCCAAAAATTTCATGTCATATGCTGTTGTTGATAGATCAGAAGTCTGTCTTACCTGCTTACTTGAATTTTCTCACCTTTTCTGTTCTCTCAATCTTTGGTGTTTTGACAGCACCACAAGTTCTGCATCAGTACTACAATGACAGCACCACAAGTTCTGCATCAGTCCTGTACTACAGTTAATGAAACAACCTGATACTCTGTCCTCCCATAAGCTTCTGGTAATACCCAGATTAGAATAAACTGAACTTGTCTCCAAACAGTATTTAGTGTCACTCTGAAGTGACACTAGTTTAACATTTCATTTCTCTGAAGCTTTTAAGTTGTATTTATATAGTATTTAGCATTTGCAGAAAGGCCTTAATTCTTTTTCTTTTTTGTGGTTTGTTGTGGGGTTTTTTTCTGCTTAGTTTTGTTTATCTGATATGCCTCTAACATTCAATAAAAACTGGATTGTAAATATCAAAATGACTGTAATCAGAGGAGGCATTAAAACAACCCAACACCTTGTGTTTGAAAAAAGCCGTCAATGTGAAAAGGTTATCATGGATGTAAAGGTTCTGCTAAATCACAAAAAGAGACCCACCAGGCTGCAATGTTATTATTTTGCTGAGGGGTACTATTAATCATCCTGATTTGGGGACTAAAAGCATAAACAGGCTCTGAGTAGCTGCGAGGTTGCTGTATCAGTGTGAATTTGGTGGTGGATACAAGACATGATGGTGCAGTAGCCTCCTGCTGCCTTCTCTCCTCAATGTTTTTGGCATTTTTTTTCTCCTGCCTGCTGTACCTGGTTGGCTGTCAAAATAGTAAAGAGGTATTTTCTCTGAGAAGTTCTACCCCTTTTCCTGTCTCTGCCAATTCTGTCTTGCTGAGCATTCTGCAGTCCCTTGTGGAAGAGTGGATGGAGTATCTTACTGAGAGAATTACTGGTGGAGGAACAGTGGAGTGTTATTTCCAGGACTGCTGACAGCAGTCACCTGAGGCCAGGACACATGCCAACACCGACTGCTGTGCAGGGCTGCCAGAGGCTAATAAGGCATGTCCAGGTCTTGGTTAGGTTTTGGTGTAGCAATAATCCATTGAGGAGCTGGGCTGGGGTCAGGGATTTCTGGATTCTGTGATCCCTCCCTTAAATAACTCTGTTTCTGCAGCTGTTGTGCCGAGGAGGAGAGATTCACTTGCAGAATAGGCCGATGTACTGGAGGGGATTAAAACCTCGAAGCTTAGATGATAAGTTGTTTTGTTTTTATTCAAACTCCAGGTAACAAGAAAATCTGGATTATAAATAGAAAGGTTAACAGTTGGAGTAATATAATATAGATCATTTGTACACGTGAGTGAATGACCTTCATAACTAACTTATGAGTCATTCCAGTGAGAATAAATTGGACTACAAAACAATTAACTGCAGTGGTTTTACTTGCTAGCTGATATGCTAGGCTGATAAAAGCAGCCTTTTTAAAAAAGGGTCTTCGTGTTTTAGTGAATTATTTATAATACAATATAAGTGTTGGTTTGATTTTATGCAGGTACTAATGGGTCATCTTTATATTGAGGGAAATTTGTTTAGTATGGAAAAAGAAAGAAAGAAAGTACAAAACCAAAGATGTCTGAGGTAGAAAAAAATCTTAGCACTTGCTTGTCAAGTGTATGCAAGATAAAAAGTTTGGTCCTGCGTTGCTTTATTCAATAACTTGGGAAGTTTGGGGAGTGATAGGGTTATTGGTTTTGGCATTTTGGATCTTTGCTGACAGGAGTGTGTGTCTGAACCTCAGCTGCTGCTGTTGCTTGGCTGGAATACCTTGTGATGATTCTTGTTTGTTAGGGAATTGCACATAAACCAGATAGTAATGTATATATTTTTATTATCTCATCGATTACTCAGTGGTGCATTTGGAGTTAACTTGGTGGTTTATCATAAATCAGCTTGGATTTAGAGGTGGAGATAATCAGAGGTGGAATAAATCCTGCATTTCTGACCTTTGCTTTGTCAGTTTGTAGTTCTTGCCCTGCGTTCATGCTTCTATTGCTGCTATCAACAGGTTCTGCAGTTTTCACTAAGAGCTTATTCTGAGCAGTGTTTCAGACTGTTACCTGCTTGCAAAACTTGGTAAAATCGTTGGAACTTTACAGCATTCATTCTGGGAGAGTTACTATTAACAAAGAGAGTAGTTGTAGTTCCTAAACCTTTCTGGTTTTAATGTAAGTATTAGGTGTATTGAGTATCTGTTATATGATTGCTCTTTGCCTTCAGAGAACTAGGGGAAAAACAGTTTTCAGGTAATAGTAGAACTAGGGGAAAAACAGTTTTCAGGTAGTAGTAGTAATAATTTTTTATTTTTTTTTGGAAAATGTGATAAATCAGATAGAGACTGCTTGAATTGGGTGTCTGGTGTTGTGTCCCAGGGCACACACACCCCCTGTTTCTTTTTTTTGAAAGAGACAATTGTCTTCCTGATGGGGATGGAACAACAGCTGTTCTGAGTGAATAACAATGGAATTTGAATATGAAATAGCATTTTATCCATGACAGGGAATTTATCCCTTTTCCCTGTTTCCCCCTCCCTTCCTCCTGCTCGGTAGGGACCGAATGCCTCTTCAGGACACTGTGTGTAAACCTCCAGACTTTGCTGCCTAAATGTGCATCAGAATACGTGTTTGAAGGATCTAATGTGGCAAGTGCTAAAATAAGTACTTGGAACACTTTAGGATTATGAGTCACCAATCCCTGGCTGCTGTTTTTATATGTCAATAATTAATATAACCCACCTGGAAGTTAACTTTTGAGAGACCTATCATGGTGATCCACAATAAATCTTGAGTAGAAGTACGATAGAAAGTTCAGGTGCCTGTATGCAATGTTCTGCCTTAGGTTTACTGGCTTTTAATGCTAAACACCTAAAGGAAGGACAACAACTACTTTTAATAGTTATTTGTAGGTCCAAGAGTGAGACAGAATTTAGTCCAGAAGGAGCAGAGGAATTACCTTTTTGAGGGGCTGGTAGTTCAGTAGTGAGACAGAATTTAGTCCAGAAGGAGCAAAGGAATTACCTTTTTGGGGGGCTGGTAGTTCAGTAACATCAGATATTTCAGTGGAATAATCCTATCTGTAGCAATTAATGTCTTTTTTTAAAAAATAAAGAATGCCTAATGATTAACTACAGGGTTTGTCATTAATATTGACCTCTTAAATGTTGCCTTCTGTCCTGTAGAAGACCCTTTTGATGACTTATTCGGGGGCAGGCGAGGTCCAAGGGGAAGCAGAAACAGAGGCGGTGGATCGTTTTTCTCTGCCTTCGGAGGGTTCCCTGCTTTTGGAAGTGCTTTTCCTTCATTTGACACAGGTAAATATAGCAACCTTTAAGATGGAATGCAATTTTGGTTCACAGAGGGTATCAATATAATCTGTCTTCTGAAGTCAAGAAATTATAGGGCTACTTTTTTCTTTTTTTAAAAAAAATAAGCCGCTGTCTGTAGGTGTGGATGTAAATAAAGCTATAGTTGCAGTATTTAAGCTGAAAGTTCATGAAAGGTAAACAGACCTCGAAGAAGAAGAACTGCCTATATTCTTAATTCTGGTGCTACAGTTTCTTTATAGCTTTAGAATTGGTTTTGTTCTGTTTGGTTTTAGATGTTGGGAATGTGATGGCTTTTATTTCAGGTCCTGAAATACACTGAAAAAATGTGTGCCTAAACCCGGTGGTACCAAGTCTGGGCAGTCAGTTTGAGTGCTGATGTGTGTCTTGGAAGTTGCTGAGAGCTCAGTATCCTTGAGAGTGTTTACATTCTGGTGATTTGTTGGGATGTTAGTAGTATAAGACTTGTTCTGCCTGCCAGCCAGCTTGGGACATCCCAACGTCTGCATTAAAGCAGATAATCAGGTATTGCTGGCTTTACCCTGTGTGGAGAGAATGGAGAACGGCTTTGTTCAGCAGACAGGCTTGAGTGCCTTCTCAGGGGAAGAGTTGACAGATGGTTTTTGGCCAGTGCTGTGCTATGGGTCCATATGGGAGAAATTGATGGGCCTGGAGCCATGATTTTATTCTCAAACTAGTCACTGATCCTGTGTTGATGCAGCCAACTAAGGGCATCCTGAAACTATGATATAGTCTGAGTGGATGATGAATTTGAATCCCATGGTCATGCAAAAACATATTTTTAGTCAAATGCCTTCTTTTTCAATAGGTTTTGCTTCATTTGGTTCCCTGGGACATGGAGGCATTACTTCGTTCTCAACTTCATCATTTGGTGGCAGTGGGATGGGTAGCTTCAAATCAGTATCAACCTCAACTAAAATAGTTAATGGCAGGAAAATTACTACAAAGAGGTAAGTGATATAAATATATTTATATGAAACTGTATGTGGAGGTTACATAGGCATAATTACATGCAAACAGTTATACTGTGTGTTTATACACATACAGTGATACATGGATGTATGTGTGTGTTACTTCTGGTGTTGTGCTTATATTAGTTGGGTTTCTCTGAATGCTTAAAAAAGTTTTGAGCAGTTTTACTGGGTTCTCTGGCTCTCTTGGCATTGTTGAGTTCATTAAAGCTGTAACTAGAGCTCTTTCAGGCCTTCAGAACCTCCTGTGTAGTGCTGCATCTTTTATTGTGGTCCTGTACTACTGTCTGGAAGGCAAATATGTGCTTGGTTTCTATTGATTGTGAAGCTTTTAACTGGAGATTGGGAGGACTTTTAATTTTGCAGACATTATGAAAGAGTTTTCCCAAACATCTGCTCTAGTTTGCTTTCCTAGGCAGTGTATGAGTGAAGCCATTGTAGCAATTTTCTGCTGCCTGTTCAGTGACATAAGCAGCTGAAGCCTGCTTGGGAGAAAAATGTTCCTGTTGGTTGGAAAGTGAATTTATAAGTACTGTACACGGTGCACCTTTCTCAGCATTTCATGCTTGTGATGGGGAAATGACTGCATTTGGGAAACCTGTATCTCAGCTATAGAGCAGCCTGCATGGAACATTATGATCAGTAAGTTATAAGAGTACCGAACAAATAGTTAAATGCAAAAGCAAGGGAGGGCAAAATCTTTTGTTTGGTAGCTTATATACCATACTCTAAAGCACAAGTTTCTTCTCTGTCCTGTTGTACTGGAGAGATCCTGTCATCTTGACCACTTAAAAACAGCCTTTGTCATCACATGTTGGTGTGGTCATTGTATTTTTCTGTGAATGTATTCCAGAAAAATCAGAAAACTGCCCACTTTTGAGGGCATTGTGCCAGGTGAGAGAGACCAAACAAAGTGTTTATGCAAAAGTTTGTATGTTTTAATATTAAGAGATAGGCTAAATGGGGTGCACTCCTGTCCTATCTTTGTTGCCATGTTTAGGAAGTGATGAGAGAACAAGAAATGTGGTTAGCCGTGTCTAGGAAGACACATTTACTATCTCTGAGAAGTCCTACTGTTTTGTAGAATGTCTGCCCACAAAGTAGCCAAGTCTAAAGAAGATTCCTATCCCAGCATAGCCAGTGGAAATCCTCCCTGAGTAATACTTTACTCTAGGCAAGAAGACGTTCCATCTGTTTTTAAAAAGGGTGTGTTCTCTTCAACAAGTCTGATCTCCAGAAAAGTTTGTATTCATCTGTATGGTTTTCTCATTTGAATCATCAGGGAAGACTTCCCAGATGACTAAAATTTAGGCATAAATTAAATTTTCTAAAAATAAACATTCCCTCTCTTCTTATTTCTAAAACAGACACAGAAAAAGAAAGCCCAAACCCACAAAATTCTTTAATCATCTCTCATTCCAGTCAGGGATACCTTTTGCACCATTTATGCTGGCCGTAAGCTTAGTATATAGTAGGTCTACAAATTACTTGGTATGATCAGTTTAGAAGTGGATTTAAGACTGTCTTGCTGCCTTACATGCATCATGCAAAATTGTGATTGGATCTAGAATATTCTGCGCTTAAGAAACAGGTTGGGACTAACTGCACTGTCAAGTTTGTGCAGTTGATCTGTCAAGACATTTAGTTCTAGATAATAGTGTCTAGTGTCAGCACAACGGTGACAGTGCATGAGGTGACAGCTGTAACTGTGAACTCTACAAACTGGAGGATTCAAACTTCCAGCAAGCAGTTTTCCCTCTATAAATAAGCAGCATTGGTGGGGAAATGCAGATGGTTACCAGTTGCAGCTCCTGCCCTGTTAAATGCCTAAGCTTGCCAACTGCAGTCGTGTTAAGCAGGTGGTGTTCTGTTACTGCTTGTTGTCTAAAAACCTGGTCTGGTGTGTATTTGAAACTGCTTTTCAGTGCTTTAAAATGGCTAATTGCATTTTTGTCCTGCAGGATTGTTGAGAACGGACAAGAGAGAGTAGAAGTCGAGGAAGATGGGCAGTTAAGGTCGTTAACAATAAATGGTAAGGAGCAGCTGCTACGCTTGGATAACAAGTAATTCAACGCACGCATTTAACAGAAATGTTAAGCTCTAACAGCCACCATTTGAGGATTGACAGGAACATTTTTTGAAGATTTCAAATGAACTCAACTTTCTGTATATCCGTACTTAATCTTAAGTAGTATAAATAGCTCACAGAAGCTCGTATTTGTCATAGACTTTTGAGTTAATTGTTGGGACCACATCAATTGGACCATTTTTTGTCCTTAAAATTGTTGTAAACTTCTGTATGCACTTTTCTTATATGTGATCAAGGTGAACCATGATCCTTCAGTAGTGCTAGGGCGAGATGTACACTAACACTAGCATGAATTTTGCTTTTTCCAATTTGAAATGTGAGCCAATTAGTAGTTTAAGTCTGCTGTGAAGTTAACATTTCCAGGATAACCTTTTTAATAATTTCAACTTCTTTTTTTTTTTTTTTTTTAATGTTTAGTAGTGAACAATGTTAATACATTTCTGGTAATGCATTTCTGGTTTAAATAAATTAAGGATGTTTTCTAGTTGTGCATGAATGCAGACAACTTAGTAAGTTTTGACAAATGTTTAAATGTGTAATGTAAGCAAAAGGTAAACAAAAGTGAAGCCAGTGAGCTGAGTCTTTTGTCATTTGCTAAAAAAATTCAAAATGAATAAATGCTGATGTTTGTGGTGCATTCTTTCATGAATGGCATTTGTAACCTTCTTGTGTCTGTGTGTGATTTGGGCAACTTGGGAAAACGGTGCTTTTTTTTTTCCTTTACCATCTTTTTCTTCAATCTCAAGGATGAGGGCCTGTTTTCTTTGCAGATGTTTTCTTCAGTATGACTGAAAACATGATATTTAATTTCTTTTCTAAACCTGTATTTGAAGCACCTATTTTTAAGAAGCATTCAGAGGCTACTCTAACTCCATCTTTTGCCCTAGTATATAATTAAAGGCTTAAAGTAACTGTTTCAAAATAAAAAGGTTTTCTAAAGTTTTAAATTCTGAGATTGCTTCAAAAATAATCTGTAGTGAACATAAATATAGAGGAAAACATTTAATAATCAAAAAAAGGCTTTCTGAATTATAAATTTTTTTTGTTATTATGCCAACAAGTAATAATTGCTTTGAGAATTTGTACAAAATTATTAGCATGATAATATCTCACTCTTTACTTTTATTCCTCATCCAAAAATGGAAAGATGGATTAATGCCCTTTGTTAAATTAATGGAGCGAAGCGAAGTGTTCCTTGGTAGCTAAGACCAGATTTTCAAAATTGGGTGAGACTTGGTTTTGGTGTGTCACACACAACGCATGCAGATAACTCATGGCATATGTTAACACCTGCCAGGCTCGGGGTAGGTCGTGTATAAGTCAGGGATGTGCACTGGCTTGGAACATCTGGCCCTCACAGGACTCCTCAGGGTGGCTCAGTGTTACAAAAACCAAAAGCTCAGTGTCTCCAAATGATCACCTAATGCCTCTCTGAACACCTGCTTTGTACTAACGAGCATGTTGGTTATTAAAGACAGCAAAAGGATTTGCTCTCGTTTCTCATGTAGGAAAACCATTTCAACTTAAGCCAAACCAACAAGCTAACAAAGTGCTACAAGAGAATTCATATTTGCTGTGAACTTAGTATATTGTACTTTTGTCCCTCTACCACTAATGCTAATTTGCTAGAACCGAACAAAATAACAGGTAGAAGAAGAAATAAATACATACTTTGGTTTTGGGACTAAAGAAGTACCTTTTTAAGTTCTTTGCAGAGTTCCTGTTACTTCAATGTTGTGTTTTTGGTGTAGAAGCACAAATTCAGTTTAGAACTAAACAATGTTTTGTTGTTAATGCTGTTTTTATCTTTCCCATGTATGTTACTTCTTGATCCAGATAACTAAAAAGACAATTTATTTCAAAATCTGGCTTCATTGTGATGTCTTGAGTTATTAAAAATGTTAATTTATATTTATGGGACACAATGTGCTCCTTTGAGTTATGTACACTGTAAAAAGTACTTCAAAATTGATTAACCAAGTGAAATAAAATTAGGACAATCTGGAGTTGAGTTTGAATTCCTTCCTGTGGATACCCATAGGTTTTACATTAAACTTCCAAACTTCACATTCTAGTTTAATCCCAGGTTGTCATCTTCAACATTTAAATTACCTGGCTCAGGTTAGGAACACAATCAGGATAGCACAGCTGTAGTGCCAAATCTGTCCCCATGTGCTTGTCTTAGGTCTCACCTGGCAAAGTGTGGTCCTTCTCACAGTTACACACAGAGAGTTCACTCTTGGGGTCTGTAATAAAATCTTCTAACACTGTAAATTTGTGCCATATCTGGTGATTTGGATAGTCTCTGTTCTGCCTTTAGATCCCTGAAGCTGGTTGTCAGAGCTGGACAAAGTGCAGCATTAAAATGGCAGTGCTGCACTTCTTGGTAGAAAGAGAAACTGGCAAAACCTGAGAAATGGGTCAGCAGAAGGCAGAACTCAGCAACAGAGATCCTGCAGTAGTGACCAGATACCCACACCCCAGTGTGTGCACAGGTTGAACTGGGTGGGTATGTGGCCAAGTACATCACTGGACTGGCAGCTCCAGTTCCAGATGTAAAAACTTGTCACCTTACACTTGTCCTAAAGCTAACTACCTCTTTCAGTATGTAAAAGACAGGTTGTTTTTTTGAAATAACCACATCCAACTTCTTTTTTGATGCAATTTCTTGCATCCAGCTTCACTTTTAAAACACAAACCTATTTCTATATGTACTGGCAAGTCCATTTAAATTCTATCTCTTATGTATTATATATTCAGAATTTCTTCTGCTAAAATCAATTATTTTCTCTTGAAAACCCACTTATTAGGTTGCTCTGAAAAAAATTCATGTTGTTCCTTGCTAATATGTAATGCACATGGATGTACAAGACCTACTCACTAGAAGTGGTGGATCATCGAAGGCAGCAAATTTCCTTAAACTTCAATTTTGGCCAAAATAGTACAAAATACTTAATGACAAAAAAGGTTCACTCAAATGCTAGGCATCTAATGGTACAGTGGGATGAGGCAGATTTCAAAATCAGGTGCTTTTGGATTAAAAGTGCTATTTCTTTACACATGAGGGATTAATTTTGAATGTTTAGGGACACTATCCCATTTAAATTAAACTTCTTCCAAAGGTTTGGAAAACCTAAGATGGAGTTTTTGAACCTGCTAAGTCACTCTTTGGTGCTCTGCTTCAAAGTTCATTGGTGGATACAATGACTTTGTACTGCTTTCTCCTGGTGCAACCTCTGGTCCCTTGTGCATGGCAGCAATTTCAGTGCACTACACTAACTCCTTTCTCCTCAGATTGCATGGCACCTGCCCCTTCCACTCAGCTTTACTGGACAATTTGTGATTCTGCCTTGGAATGCTTCACATTTTTGAAATGGCTGCAGTACTGCTCAGTTCTCACGATACCTTCTCTGTTGAGACTGGGAGGGATTGTTCAGTGGTAGAGGCCACAGAGCTGCTCTGCAGAGTGTGTGTCTGTAGCACTTGGGAGGTGGATGCTGTATCACTTGTGATTAATTGATGAACTGAGTCTGAATGCTGGAAACAAGATTGTAAAAGATTTAAAACCCCATCATCTCTAAGCCCAAGGGGTTTGTATCTCTCTTGTCAGTGTTTGTTTCTGCTATACTGTTTCTTTGCCTCCTTCAGTGTTTTGGCTTGAGGTGTAACTGGAGGTTTGCCTTTTGTATTTAGCTGTGCTGTGTTTCAGGTCAGCTCTGGGATGTCCAGTGATAAAGTTAGCTTTTTTTTGTTTTTTTTTTTTGTTTTTGGAAATCTGAGTTCTGTACCTGAGTCTGCTTCTGTTCTGTTTGAGAAGTGAGCTAGTGAGCTTGTTTCTTGCTTTGCCTGAGTGTAATCTGTGGTTGTAAGAGCAGAGTGTTTCTAAAGATGGTTGTCTTGCAAAATGAATGCTACAGCTGCGTGGTGCTCGTGGTCAGAGAACCTTTGAAAAGTGTTCAGTGTTAGTACAGTGCTTTAACTTGGTGTTAAAATACTTGTTAACCTTTTTGTGGAAGCATTTAGTAGTACTTTTGGAAAACCTGCCTCTTTGGTTGTGATTTTTGCATGTCTTGGTATTTTGGATTCTTTTTAAGTCATGTTCTGAGAGGGTAATGGCAATAGGGATATCAGTAATCTGCCAGTCAGCAGTAACCAAACTTTGAAACTTTCATAAGAAAAGAAATTTTGTTTGTACTGTCTGTTCCCTCTGGTCTTGTTTACTTTGGCATTGAGTTGTGACCACAGACTTACTTTACATCGTGCTCAACATAGACACAGGTTTTCTTGTTATTGCTTGTCTTCCAGTGGTTGTTTTGGGTACAAAACTTCTTATCTTCCACTCGAAATGCTGAAATGGTCCTTACGTTGCAATAGTGCTGGGATGAAGGATGTTTACTTTGTTAGTGATGCAAACTCTACCTTTTAAATTTATAATTCTGGTGGGATTCCTGCTTGGTCTGCTTAGGTTTTGGAACAGAAATTCCTTGGCTTGAGTTTGTTGTTGAGTGAATTGCACTACTGAAAGGTTGGGGCTGAAGGTGGTTGGTTTATACTCTGCTACATAGGTCACACATTCACAAAATAGTAAACCTCACCTTTGAGATCTGCTGTCAGACTGAAAACAGAATGAAATAATTAAAATCCTGTGATGATCGGAGCCACAACCCTGAACCTGTGCAAGCTGAGTGCTGAGTCAAACTCCTGGAAACTCCTGTAAAAACTGTGTTCTGGCAGACTCAGCACTGGGTTAGGTCTTATCTTACTTAGAACAGCTGGTAGAAAGTTAATCGAAAACTCACATGAGCACCCTGTGCCCTGTCATGCTTCCCATGGCTAGGCAGTAGTTTGGCTGTGATAGTGCCCAGGCCTGAAAGCTGGGATGTCCTGGTGTGAGGTAGATTGCACTGATGGCCTGAGTGCTAATTACCTTCTAAGTAAAGGAAGCAGAAGGTTTATGCCTGAGAAGATGTCAGCTTCGAAATGCCATGGTGGGGATTAAAGTGTATTTAATTGAGAAGCTAAGGAACATGTTTTATTAGAAGGATGCTGTTAAGTAGAATTGTCTCTGTCGTTCTCTGGCTTTTACAGTAATGTTAACTTTTCCAGCATATTGGTTTCATTTTAAACTCACTAAAAAGAGAGATTTTCCAGCATATTGGTTTCATTTTAAATTCACTAAAAAGAGATCATTTTTGAGCTTGACTTAAAATCGACAACCAAGAAAATAAGATTTTTAGAGGCTTCTGGTAATAACTCTTTAAACTTTGCTTTGCCCTGTGACTTATCCTTTATACTGAGTCACAAATAAGAGCTCTTTCAGCTATTCTTTTCAATGCAGCTAACTTCAAATGAATTTCATAAAAACAGGAAAAAGCCCTGACCCTGTAGCTGCTAGTTTACCAGCAGGGAAAATAAAGCTGAATCCTTTCACACACCTGAATGTTAATTTGGAGAGGTTAAATATTAACCCCTAGTTTGTAAAAGCTCAAGTAAGGGTGACAGTCTGTTATGTGAAGTAACAAATGGACTAGTTGGCACAGTGGTGTGAGTTCATAGGTTGGACGTGATGATCTTAGAGGTCTTTTCCAGCTTTATTGATTCTTTGAAATGACATAGGCCATGGAAAAGGCTTCAGTT